GAAAATTAACTCTATCCCAGCTGAAACCAGGACATATGCCTTTTAAAACTGGGCACAATGTTTCCCTTCTTCCAGTCACCAGAGACCTGACTGCCATGAATTTTCAAATATCATGGAGAGTGGCTTTGCCACTACATCCGGCCGTTCCCTCAGGACTCTGGGATGCATCTCATCAGGTCCAGGACTCCGGGATCTCATCAGGTCCCATCGACTTATGTATGTTCAGGTTCCTCAGGCGGTCTTGAACCTGATCTTCTTTTACGGTGGGAGGGACTTTGCTCCCCCAGTCCCCGTCTTGTGGTCCATCCACTCAAGAGGTGTGGGAAGAGAGATTAAATAATAGTGGAAACAATGGAAATAGTTTTTCCATTATTTCTATATAATGTCTTTAATTCTACCTAACCTTTGAAATATTTATGGTTGAATACCTACATTCTTTTACAAGTGTGATGATTTATTCTTTAATAATCCTGTAACAATGAGAAAGACAAGGTCATATTTATTGAATGTATTAACATGAATGATTTACGGAACATGGGTGGACACTTTTAATTCCCTTAAATTATTGTGTATTAATTGAGGTTTTACATCTGTCTTTGTCTTCTCTGAGATCTTAACCGTGGTAACTCTTAGGACTTGGAAGTAAGGATGAGAAGCATTCTCACTCTAGGTGACACGTGCTTTTCAGCTCAAAACTCTTGTAGCTTTTTTCCTTTCCCTTTTTCTTCTGGGTAATGAGGGGGAAAAAAAAAAGGATTAGTTTCTAAGTTTTTAAAGCTGTTCCTGCTTACTCTAAGCAATACAGCAACTGGGAGAAATGTGGTATTGTTTCCTATTGAATGATAGTAAGCTTTAATGCTGGGTATTAGAGAAAAGGAAATATAAAGCAGAGTTGATTCTTGCTGTTGTATACAATGTGCTTTCTATGCGTCTGTTCCTGTTCTGTAATTGAATACAGATTCATATGTAATAGTTCAAGAAAGAGCCTCAAAAATCAGTCAGGTAGTGGTAAACTACTCTTACAAAATAGTATGTAAAAAGATATATTTGGCTTCATACCTGTCCTTAAAAATTCAGAAAGATAGTATCTCTTCTATTACAAGCTTTGTCAGAATACTATTTTGGTGTACTGGATCAAATTGCAAGAGATGTAGTGTGCTATGAAGCCAAGGAATGTGCTGTATCATGAGCCCTGTCCTCAGAAGAATCCCACTTAAGTGATATGCAGCTTGCTGCTGTGCAATGCCACTTCTCTCTGTGTATGGATTTACTAAGCAGATTCAGTCAATTGGCAGACTGAACTGATCTGCTAGCTGTGTCTAGTACATGGTGTTGCAGGGCCAGAGAGGTGGTGGTGGTGTGTTGCTTAAATACATTGGACTTTTCAGATCTTTTTATTTGGTTGGCCAAAGGAAAGAAAAGGCTAACAATTTACCTGCTCTCTGTATATAGACACTTACCCATGAGAAGGATCTCTGTAATGAGAAATCTTTAAAGCTTTTTAACAGAGTTGTAAGATCCTCTCACTGAAACTTGAAATCGGGCAATTTCAGTCTGTAAAGTAGATATAGTTTCCTAGCAGAGAGGGTAAATAAATATTGGAAAAGTTTATCGGTGAAAGAGGTGGACCGATAGTGTCTGGAGTACTAGGATCAGGGGGGCTTTATTAATTTAAAAGATATGCCTTAATCTGTAATCTGGAAAAAATTCCACAGCCTGTGGCAAAGAAGAGGAGAAAGGAGGATGTAGCATTTGTGGTGGATTTTGATAAAACCAATAAAACTTCTGATCTGATTCAGGACTCTGAATTCCCATTTCTTTTTTTAATTTTTGAACTTTGGGGGAATGGGAGTACAGGCTTTGCCTTGGCGTGCTCTTAATATTGCAGTTCAGCATTAAGACAGAGGTCATAATCAAGTTATAAGTATCTAGCCTTTGGTTAAGAGTCGGAAGGGATTCTAACAATTGGCTCGATATGTTCTGCACATTTACACTCTGTTCTGTCCTCACACTTGCATGCCTATGACTAGAAGCCTGAGGGTGGGTAAGTACTCTGAGACAGAAGAGAGGATGCCTGTCTGGCTGGTACTCTGGTCATACATTCATAATCATACTGCTGACATACTGCATAACTAGGAAGAAAAACTAGGGTAAATACAACTGAGGAATTTGGGGGTGGAGTTGTACTGTCCTCTGTAGTACATCATTGTTCATCAGCAGGGAACATATCAATACCTCTCACCCAATTTCTCGTGATTGCAGCAGTTTTGGCCTCTCTTGAGGACTGAGGTACATGTGCATGCATGTGTCTGTGTGTGTTCTGTCCTCTGGGCTTGCTTATATCTGACAAGTGTTATGTTCGGACTTCCTTTCTTGCCAAGCAAGCAGGAAATGAGAGGACAAGTCTTTGAGACTTGTCTCATTCACTTGTGTCCTGGAGTAAATGAGAGGCTGTGGCACAGCATTTTAACTTAGGTTTTGCTCAGAGACCCTGACAGAGGCAGAACTAAGCATATGCAGGGCCATGTGTGGAAAGCCGCCAAAAAAGGACATGTGGTTTGGTTTAGTACATAGGCTGCTCGGAGAGGTGGTGGAGTCACCATCTCTGGAGGTGTTCAAAAAAACGTGTGGACGTGGCACTTTGTGACATGGTTTAGTAGGCATGGTGGTGTTGGGTTGATGATTGGACTGATGATCTTAGAGGTCCTTTCCAACCTTAATGATTCCTAATTTTACTTTCCTTAAAAAATAATCCAGCCACCAAGCCAGAAAACATGAAATTAATTATTCCTCTACCCTTAATTGGTTTAGTGGTAGACTTGGTAGTGTTAGGTTAATGGTTGGACTAGATGATCTTAAAGGTCTTTTCCAACCTATCCAAACGATTCTATGATTCTGTATGCCCCTGATCCATAAGCTGGCTCAGCTTTGAAATTTATAGCATTTTGGGAGTGAGGGGTAAATTAAAAAAAAAAAACAAAACACATCTTCCTGTCTTCATCAGATCCAGAGTTTCTATATCATATTTTTACTTAAGATAGAGTTTAATTTTCTTAATACTTTGTATTATTTATGACCTCATACTCAAGTTGGCCCTTGTTCTCTGTGTAACATATAGGTTCTGTAATTAGTGCCTTGTTTTCCTTGGTGCTCTTGGGAGTGCATGCTTGTATGTAAGCTTAAAAGAAGAGCATCGTAGTGTATCTTTTGTTCAACTGTCTTTCAGATTCATGCACTTTTAGTTTCATTTGTGTTAAGCAATTAACTGAGAAAATAATTATACTGAAAAAGTATTTAGTCTAGATAATCATGTGCTTGTTTTACAGGTACACCTGGTATTAAAATTCTCATGCCTGCACTTTCTCCTACAATGGAAGAAGGAAACATTGTGAAATGGTTAAAAAAGGAAGGTAAAATAACATTTTCTATGGCCATGTTTGTTGTAATTCTTCAGCTATATAAATCCGTAAGAATAAGATCGTTCTTTCTGGTTGTACCTTAAAATTTTGAAGCAAAGCGTTTGGTGTATGTATACTGTCTTTTTGAACAATACCCGCTTTGAAATTGTTGGTTCTTGAAACATTGTTCCTTTAGTTGCCTTCCAAAAGGTTGCATTGATCATAGTTTTGAAAAATTTCCATTAGGCTGTTCCAGGGTGTGAGTGTGCATGTGTGGTGTTCTTAATTCCCAGTGTTGTCATGCCGATCAGTAACTTTGGAAGTCTGAGAGCCTTTGACTTTGGGGAGGGTCTCCATTTCATTTTTCTGCTGTGTTACAAATTAACATGAAACATATGGTATTTTTATACTTACTATTCAAGGCTTACTTTTTTAAATATCTAAATTACAGTCTACAATTAAACCTGATAGAAGAATTTAAAGTACTTTCCTAACCCAAATTCCAAATGGGGAAATCTCTTTCCAAAAAAAACCAAAAAGCCGAACCAAAACCTAAACCAGAAACCAAACTACTCCTCCAAAAAAAGCCCTAACAGCCTTGGTTATCTTAGGTTCTCTGGGCTCTGACAACTGAAAAGTAATGTACTTCTGTTAAAATATGTTGGAGCAGCTAGATAAATAGTCTGAGTGTATGTTTTGTCTTTGCATAGGTTGCATGTAAATGAAAAATGATCTGCAGAAGAATCGACAGTCCCTGTTCTGTCAGGAGACCTTTCTCCCCTCTCCTCCTACCCTTTCCTCTCTCCAATTTAGTATTAAAACTGGATTTTGACTATAGTTTTGGATTCCAGGTAGCAGTTGTCCATTGGTATAGGATGCAGTGCAGAGTTTTAGATGACTGTAGCGATATGTCTTGTTCTCGGACATTTTTAAATTTGCTAAAGAGATGAACACGTTTGGAGAAAAGAAAATCTCTTAAGGTATATTATTGTTGATAGGCACAATTTGATGAGCTAAATGTGTGTTTTGACTATTCTGCCTAGATAAGCTGTTTTCTTTGGTTTACCCTCTAAGTGTTGATACAGCCCCCATCATTGTGTTACTGGAGTACTTTGCTTTTAAACATTTTGAATACATTTTGAGAGGTGGCTGGAAGGCAACTTGTTGCTCCAGTAGTGGACATGACCTTTTGCTTTTAAAACTTCTAGTAAGAATTTCTGCAGAATTTAATAGGAACAGTATGGCAGTCTATGCCTGTAAAAAGTAATTGCACCAATGTTCTTGAAACTTGAAGCCTCAGTTAGTAAAGCATCAAGTCCAAGACTGCAGAAAGGAACAATCCAAAGTCCTTTTTCTATTCATTAGTTATCAATAACTGTAAGACATTACAAATCAACAGTAGTCTATCTTACAATAAATATAGCATTCAAAATTGCATGAGAAAGCAAAGAAGAGAGCATGATAGGAGTTGAAGTAGATTCCAGTTTGCTCCACAACATGAATGAATCAGTTTTCCTCATAAAAAGGTCTTAGGACACAATAGCTATACAGTGTTTTTTCTTGGTCTTTCCACTACATTTCCACCCCAACACAAAAGGAAAAAAAAGCTCCACACCTATTTTAATTAAATTAAAATAAAATCTTAATTGATGGTTGGACTTTGACAGAAAACTGTTTTAGCATTTTTATTGCTTTGCTTTCTATTTAGAAACAAGACCAAAACTGAATATAGTATATTGTCTTAATTGGCACATCTGTGACCATAATTAGTTCCTATGGATTTTTTTTTTTCCTTTGACAATCTGGAAAATAAATGTAATGACAACATTAAAAAAACTGAAGATAATTTTTGAAGAAAAAAGCAAAGCGATTTAATGCTTATACTCCTGTCTGCAAGGGATGCTCATGACTACATGATCCTCCACTGAGTTGGCCATCTAAATGTAGTGGAGTTACTGAATATAAATATTTGATAATCTTATATCCAAGAAAATAAATATTTTAAAGCAACTGACAAAAGAAAGCTGATGATTGCATATGAAATGTTTTTCCCACTGTATAAACAGCAGGGTTCAGTAGAATACTATTTTGATAATTTTTCTGCTCTTTGTGTAAATATCTAATGTTTTCATTTTATGGTTTCACAGGATGGACAGATGATTTCAGTACTGCACAAAGAAAAATGCTGAATTTAATTGACAGCTTTACTATTTTCTTCTCATTGTTAACACAGTTTCATATTGATTTCTGTGGGTTATAAAGTTCTCATAAAAATATAACTGTGTTTCTAAAAATTTGTATTTATTATGTATGAATTCAATGTTGATGAAAGATGATAGATTGACAGCCCAGGAGACTGAAATCCTCTTGTTATTGTGGGCAGGAAACGGAATATGCAACAGTGCTAGCAATTTCCTCATGCAGTGTAACTGCCGCCTTCTGAGACATCACCTCCAGGGACTTAAGTCTCTATGCTCAGTCAACTTTGATTTGATTTGCAAAGAGTTACATCAAGGAACACAGTTTGTATCTTGTGATTTGGATACTTGTCTGTCAGTAATTGACCAGAGCGCATAGGCTATTGAATGCCAATTGGGTGTGATCTCCTAGAGGGAAACTTGGCTTCAGTAGAGATCCTAATCATTCAGCCTAGTGTGAGAACATAATCATTTAAAAAAACCCAGACAAACCCCACCCAAGATTTTTCAAGGACATTATATATAATCTCAGAGAGCTGCCATTCAGGCAACTTCTGTTGCAAATACTGTGCTCTCATTAGAAAGCGTAAGAGCAAAGATACGCTCTGCAAAAGTGTTCTTTCCAATCCTATGTATTGGGAAAGCTGATTTGTAATTGACATCAAAGTGGGCATTGATTAGGAGCTATCGCAGATTTTGCAATCTGTAATGAAAATAACTATTATCCTTTCTGTTGCGCTTGGGTACTGAAACACACATGAGATTTTTGAATACTGCTATGAAATATTCTTAAAATTGCATTTCATCAATTGCCTTCCAACCTTATGACCACTTCTTGGCTGCAACAGCGAAAGGAAAACAAAAAAAGTAGTGGAAAAGTGGTTTGCTCAGCTCTCTGAAGACGTTTCCTCTTGCCTTCCCTGTGCAAAGGAATCCTTAGCTTTCTGTGAACAGCCTCATGTACCCAACTTAAGAGATATGTCACACATGGATGAAGGTATTTGCTTTGGCTAGCTTGCACTGTTCGAGTTACTGCTGCAGGCTGCTTAGCACTGAGATTTCTTATTAATGGTGCAGAACACTTATAGTCTGATTGCAGGTTGGGAGAGGAGAATAATTAAGATATGGAGTTAAGCTCCTTTCTGCTTGCCTGTCTTAGCTCTGTAGGTTACAGAATTTGCCCAACAATTTGATTTCTTAACATCTATGAAGTGCCTAACTAGTGATCTCATATATGGGCTACTTGAATTAATAATCCAGTGGAATGAAAACACTGGTATAGAGCCTGGAATTTTTACTTCCTGTTATAAACTGTTTATGCTCTAGTTATTGCAAAGTATGGTGTGGCAATTAGATAATGAAATTCAAAAGATCAGGTGCTTCTTTGTGTACTCCCCTGCCAAGTTCTGTAACAGGAACATTTATGACTTAGAAAACTATGTAAGTGACTGAGCTCTGAATGTTTCCTTTGTTTACTACTGCAGAGATCACAAGAATCATAGGATCATTTAGGTTGGAAAAAACCTTTAAGATCATCAAGTCCAACCATTAACCATACGTTACGTTAACAACATTAACCATACAATGCTTCATTTTCCCCTTCTAATTCAGGTAGTCCTGAAACAGGAAATAATTATTTTAAAAAATGTTTATCTCTTACTTAAATACAGGTGGTAACCTGTACTAGGTTTATTCTGATGCTTAAGTACAACAGAGAGTGATATCAGGAGTTAAATTAAATGCTTAGACAGATAATACTGTTGCAGCATTTCTGGTAATGGGAAAATACTAAAATTCTACTTCATGCAAAAATTGTAGCCTTGTATTAGGTTTGTATGTATTGTCCCTATTTTTCAGTGCTCTGTAAGGAAAAGGTTGTCATGTTTTGTTGGAGGCCGAAACATTCAGTTACCTCAAAGTTTTTCAATGTAATTTCAATTTTAATGTTGGCCAACTAGTCAGTATTGATCTGTTGAAAAAATCCAGATCCATAGTATCTTTGTCATGTGCTAGCAGATATAGATATTCTTCAAAAGCAGAGGAAGAGTATACTTCAAAATTAGTCATAGATTTGTGTAATGTAGTGAAAGCAATTTCTAACACTTGTGCATATTTTTATTTCACAAAGTACCTTTTTTAACTATATTGGAAATTGAGGAAACAAGCTTGCAGACATGCTTTCCAAAGAGATTAAAGTTCCTGAGTTTTTTATTTCAATATCTTTAATAGTGTAGATACAAACTAGAGAACTGTGATACTTAGTTAACGATGTTGTTGCCTGCAACCATTGTCTTAAAAAATTACAGTTTTAAATAGCTTGCTTTGACTTATGGCTAGCAGTGAATATGGAAGGCTCAAGATTTTATTCATGACACTGTTACTGAGTGATGGTGTTGTGTACTTCCTCTTGGAAAACCTGCTGTAAACATCAGTCTTTAGAGGATGTTGATGTTCTGCTGCAGCAGTTTGTGTCTCTGAATCTTAGTGTTTTTATTTGGAAATGGAAGTTATAATATGATAAATAATGATGGGGGATCAACTACCTATAGAGTATATTAAAGAATGTAAGTTGGCTGTATTACATGGATAAATATCTATCTTCCATGGTTAAATAGATCTGAAAGGAAGTTTAGGCTAAGTATTCTTAAGTTCTGTTATATTTTGCAGGTGAAATGGTGAATGCTGGAGATGCATTGTGTGAAATTGAAACAGACAAAGCGGTGATTACCATGGAATCAAGTGAAGATGGCATATTGGCTAAAATACTGGTAGGGATTCTGCCTTTCTGAGTAGGATGATATAACTTCTCTTCAGACTGTAGTTTAGCATATTGCCTCAAAAACTGGTTTAGATGACTAAATTTCCTTCTGCTTAGCTTTTAGAATAATGCACTTACTTGCATTCTGAGTGAGAAATAATTGCTCTATTTCGTACATGTACCAGACTACGGGTACATGATTCTATATATGTTTAATGGATTTTCAGTTAACCTCATTGAATTACGTAGTTTTGTATGTTTTTCACCTTGTGAATTATGTCCACAAAATATTGCAGTTTATGACATCTCTTACTCTGAGTTATAGAAAAACAAGTTACGATCAGTTAGTTGGAATATGGAATTTTGGATGGTACTACCCGGGATGTGTGATCTCCGTGCTAGATTATCTTGTGCTGGCCATTGAAGATGGTGCATTATACAAGATGGGCGGAGCCAGAGGACAATTCTTAGAATTATTAATTTCCTGTATTCTTAAAATTAGATTGATTAGGCTTAAAGAATGAGAACTGGAATGAATTTGAAGTTCTGTGAGCATCATTTTGGAGTGTTTGTGTGTATGTGCATATATAACAGAGATAATGCTTGGTTTGGGTTCCTTGTTTATGTTTGGCTTTAAATCCTGTTCTGTACCAAGATGGAAGCAATAACAACTGGACTACAGAGATCAGGATGAAGGACAGTTCTAACCCTGCATTGCTTAAGGTCTGCTTGCAAGTCCTGTGCTATTCTTTACATACTGTATTCTAAAAATGCCAGTCAAATTCTGTGTCTTCGCCTTTCTCCTCCTCCTCTTTTCTAACATTTTTGAAAAATGTTTTTTATTTCAAAATGACCTGATGTTAATTCTCATCATAATTTAGAAGGGTGGGGCTGTAATTCTGAGGCCTTCTGTTGCTGCTTCTGTGTAAAAGTAAATATTACATTTTCTGAAAGCCGATATTGATGCTTAAAAATTAAGGGAGACTATATTTTTCTTGTCCATTAAATATGTATAATGGAAAATGTGTTTTAGAGTTTCTTATCTTTAGGGAGGGGAATGAAAGTTGTTACTATTGTGTAAAAGACAGGGAAAGGATTTTCCCTCCCTTTCAGTATTCACCACTTTTTCTAAAATTTTCCCCATACAACGTCCAAATCTGTGGAGTTCTCTTATTTATCCTGTGAAGGCTTAAACTGTCAGCTAGCCTCTAGCACTTCCAACACGAACATCAATATCTTTTTCCCTTTTAGAAACTGGGTATATAAACATGAATAATCTTAAATATGATTTTGCAATGAATTTGCAGTTTGGTTAAGATGAAACAACTTGCTCAATTACAATTGAAGAAAATCTAACTGTGCAGTCAAATAGGCAGCTAAATGGGGAAACAAGGTTCTGCAGCATAATATTTCTCAGGTTTAATGTGTATACTAATATATAAAGAGCTTCTTGCCACACTTAGACATCCTACCTATGAGCTAGTGTCTCCTAGAAAAGTTATGACACGCTTTGTAATGTTTGAACCATAAGATACTGAAGAAATCTACTTGAATCACTGCGCAACTTTAGCTTTTTTTTGGTGGTAGACATGTTAAAATGAATGTTAGTACTGTTACTTTGTCTTAACTCTAAGAGTGTTTGACAGACACTTTGGCTGTCTTGGCACGCAGTATATCAGGTTTGGTTGTTCCAAGACTATTAATTCACTTGTATTCTTTCTCTCAAAGGATCCTTTGTGTCTTGAAGCATTGCTTAATAACTTGGGTTTCCAGCATTGTAGTGTTTGCCTTTCTCTGGCTCCTTACCCTTGCATACCACTCAGTTGCTTGGCCAACCAATTGCATCTACAAAGTGCTGTTGAACCTGGCTTGAAATTAACACCATACAGCAGGCATGGATATTTGCCTTTACTGAGGTGCAGCCCAGCATGATTTCGTGCAGAGGGGATGCATGACTATGCAGCTGTGTGGTGCCACTCTTACCCACCATATTGTTGTAGTGAACACAGAGGACTTTTGTCTTTCTTGGGGTTGGTATTTAAATACTGTTGTAGTTTCAACTGCAAGTTTTCATACTTCAACTTGTACAGCAGTTTCAACTCCTGCATTCAAGACAAAAAGAATGTGCCATTAATGTTCATATGAAAAGTCTGGTTTTAAATGATTGCCCCTGTATTGTGTGGGAACTCGGTAACAGAAAGGACTAAATTTCGGTTCTCCAGGACAAGATTCAGTTGTCTCTGATACTTCCCATTCAGTTCTTTGCCTTATATATTTTTAATATCATTAAAAAAGCCAACCATAAATGAAAGGCTGCAAAAAATGATGAAGCAGGAATGTCCTAGAGACGAAACTCTATTGCTTTGTACAATCTTGATATAGCTTCATAGAAAATGGAATACAAGTGAGCATGTTATTAAAGACTAAATGATACATATAGAGAAATTGTGCTGATTGAACGTTTGACTTTCCAGCAATACAGTAATGATCTTTTGATGTTCTTGTGTGTGGAAATCATTAATAAAGCTGTAATATACTTTTTGTTGCAAACCACATTTTCCAAATTTTCATGGTGCTTATAGGTTAGTCTATGCCTCATTTGAAAGAAAAGAACTCATGTAAAGAGTAGTCTGTATTTCTTACCCTCACAAGACTTTAGCCTTGTGGTTTGCTTGGGAGGAATAAAGTTTTGTTTCTTCACTTCTTTTGCTTTTCTCTCCCAAAATCCTCACTTTTTGAAAATTTCAGAACAGTCTCATTTCCATGCTGGTGGAGTATTGCAGCGTTTCTTCCCTTCCTTCACAATAATTAAACAATAAGGTGAATTGGAAGAACTTTGAGTACAATAAATTAAAAATTATGGGAAATTGTTTTGCTGTATGTGTAACATTATGAAACCCTTTGTCAAAATGTTTAGTTCAAGTTGGTATGTTGGGAGAGAAAGGAGTGGAAAAAGTGTAGAAACTGAGAAGTGGAATGTAACAAGATCAGTGGAATGAACTTGAAAGCGAAAATTCTTGACTGAACAGAGGTGATTGTACCCCTGTACTCGGTGCGGTTGAGCCCGCGCCTGGAATACAGTGTCCAGTTTTGGGCCCCTCAGTACAAGACAGACATTGAGGTGCTGGAGCGTGTTCAGAGAAGGGCAACGAAGCTGATGAAGGGTCTGGAGCACAGGCCTTATGAGGAGTGACTGAGGGAACTGGGGTTGTTTAGTCTGGAGAAGAGGAGGCTGAGGGGTGACCTTATGGCTCTCTACAACCACCTGAAAGGAGGTTGTAGTGAAGTGGGTGTTGGTCTCTTCTCCCAAGTAGTTAGCGATAGGACAAGAGGAAATGGGCTCAATCTGCGCCAGGGGAGGTTTAGATTGGATATTAGGAAAAATTTCTTCACGGAAAGGGTAGTCAAGCATTGGAACAGGCTGCCCAGAGAGGTGGTGGAATGGCCATCCCTGGAAGTGTTCAAAAAACGGGTAGACGTGGCACTTGGGGACATGGTTTAGTCTAGTCTACCCTTGATTGGCTTAGTGTGGACTTGGTAATGTTAGGTTAATGGTTGGAGTGGATGATCTTAAAGGTCTTTTCCAACCTAAACGATTCTATGATTCTATGAATAGTTCCTGGAGCTATCAGTGGGCAAGAGAAAATTCTACCCTATGCACACTGAGATGCATGTTTCTGCTGCTATTACAAAAGCCATTTGCGTTGGTATACTAGGTTGCCTATCTCTGCTACAGTTGCATTTTCTTACAACAGCATGTATTTGCATAGTTATCCTTTGCAAAAAAAGGGAGAATAGTTTCCTGTGTGGCAGCATTTAAGAAGTGATGGTCTGTTTAGTATCTTGCTTTTTTGTATAAGCAAAGGGAACATCCTTTGCAAAACTGAAAGCATCAAAATAGGTGGCGGGCTGGGTGAGGAGGAGAAGTGATATAAGATGGAACTCAGCTGCAAGTGAAGTCTGTCAGGGCTTACAAGAAATTGCCGTTAGTGTTTAATTTCTACAAGATGACTTGCATTTTAAATACTAGTTTATATAAACAAGTAAGAGTTTTGTAAATCTTTCTTTTATTACATTGCTAAATAGTAATTTTTCCCAAATTTTCTATTTTTTTGTAGCACCTTGAAACTTCTGAGTTTTTGTGTTCAACTGTGGAGCAACACATCTAATAAGTTTCAGAGAATCTATTCTACTATCCCCGGACAAAATCTCACATCAGTCATATTTTTAAATGGGTTTTTAGTCCCCATATATTTATTTTAATAATTGCTGGGTGAGTGATGCTTTCACTGTTCTTAGTTCTCTCCAATTTTGAATGTTTCTGAAAATTATTTTGCTCTAATAGCATTGACAAAAACTTGTCCAACCTCTTCATTTTTTTAAAAATGACGTACCTATTCTGCATTTACAGATACTGCTTTGTTAGATTATGTGAAGAGGAGATATGGGGATTGTCTCTGTCAAAAGTATTAAAGAATGATTGCCAGAGAGACATTAAGAATAGCAGACTCCAATACTGAGTTTTGAAGTTTCTTTAATAGTAATTCATGATCACTACAAGTAGCATTAGTATTTCAGAAGCTGTTTTTCCTGTTTCCTGTCTTGTATTCCAAATTTATTCCAAATTCCAAAATTTCTTTGTGTGTATTGCTGTTGTGGCATGGTTTTTGATAGATCAAAACCAGACTGTCCAGCAACTATGTGATATCAGTTATCACAGCTGAGCAGTGACACTCAGCCTTAGCCAAGATATATTCACATCATCCAATAACAATCATACGCCAAGAGCTGGGTCTGAGAAGGAAATGCCAGGAGGTGAAAAATGACTAAAGTCTTTCAGATTAAGGGAAAAGAGGTAGCTTTACTGGAGTAATGTGAACAGATTATTATGCAAACCCAATCTGTAAGGTATTCTTTTAATCCCCCTTTTTGGAATTTAGAAATGTTGGGCTTAAGTATTAGTGTACAGAATAGATACACAAACAGGCTTTTATTCAGTCTCCTAAAAAGTACAGAAGAAACCTGATGCTTTGGCAACTGAAATAATAGGGGAGCAATAAGATCAGAAATTTTCTGATTCCCACCCGCCCCCTGCCCCCAGTTCAAGTATGATCCTTAGGTGACTTTCTGCAGTATCCTGTGGATATTTCTGCACATATATATTAGGTGCTCAGTAGACGTTTGTGTAAGGTTTATAACATTAAGCTATCTCAGGTTTGTGGATGGAGAAATGCCTTCTTATTGAAAAAAGACTGTCCTTCCAAAGGCCACTCAAAAATTTCAGATGTGATGTAGTTGATCGGAAATTAAGAATGTTTGATGTGTCTGAGTTACCAGCATCTGGCTGAAGTTTACTCACTTCCTAAAAGAAATGAGGCAACAATTTTATGTTTTTTGCCAACTACAATTCTGCACCATCTTGACTGAGTTCAGTATGGAAAACGGAGTCAAATAAACACACTGCCTAATGCTTTGTTTTTTACCTTGAAAAATAGAAAGTTCATTAGATTAAATTAATTCAACTTCTGTAACCCTTCTTGTTTTTTCTTGACTGTATAATGTAAGTATGTGTGGTTTAAGAGCAGGCTAACAGTGAAATAGATACTCATGCATATATTCCTTTTCTGTCTGAATAGGTCTTTTAATGGTCACGTCTGATTCAGTGTAAAATGCAGTAAAAGATTAAATGACTGAATGAAAGTACTAGAAGGGTAATTTCAGAATGATAATTATTCTTTCAGTAGAGTTGCTTCTTAAATTAACCTGACTTTTTTTTTTTTTCCTAAAATATTTATTAGTTCAATTTGGACCAAAACCAGATGATGAATGATTGTTTAAGAATTGGATTTAATATCCATTACCATTTTCTCATTCATGACCAAAATGAGAATAGGTATGAACTGAAACTACTTTGTATAAAACTTCCACTGCAGAGCAAGTCAGCCTAAGTTCCATCTACCTTTCTTCCCAGTGTTGGAAATAAACATCTACTTCGATATATGTGTGTTAGTGACTAAAGCACTGTGCTGCAGTGGCAACAGGTCTGAGGGAACTTTATTCCTCTGTGTACTTCATCTCCTCCAATTTTCTTCTCCCTGTCATGGCTCACCTGTGCTTTGTTGGCTTGTCAGCAAAGTTAGGATCTTTTTGACTCTTCTTGGCTATGTATACACACAGTAATAGAAGTATTGTGAACCTACTTATTTCAGCTCTTTCTACATCTGAGATTCTCGGGTTCATTGAGATTTATGCAGAGAGGTTTTCTGGTATTGTGAATTATGAAACTGTAGAAGTGACTCAAAAATCCAGGAGATGAAAAGTTAAGCAAAATAATAATTTTTCTCTGTCTGTTCTAGTTCTGACCTGCAAAGGCTGTGTGTTTAAAAACATGTTTTTTAAAAAAATACATGCGTACGCTTTTTAAAAGTATAAACTCTGCAGTCATCTGGGCTGGAAACTTATATTGGAAAATAAGGAATGCTGGAGTTTTCACATAACTGTCTTGGAATGGTGAACATGAGAAGCACAACTGGCTTGCTTTGATGGCTTTGAATGCTTGTATAATGCTGGGTTATAAACAAAGCCCTATCTAGTACAAGTGTTGTGTTATGTTTCTGACGGCTCGACCATCCCTATTGGATTTCTGCATGTGTTATCATAGCACCGTTAAAGCACTCTGACACCAACATTGTGGTAAGGACTTGACACCACAGGCATGTTGCAGTGCTTCTTGGTCTATTCAGGTACAATATGTAGACTGCTTATAAATATGAAAGTGTTCTCTGTATGTGCAAGCCTTTGTAAAGGAAAGAGAAGACATGCCAAAATACCTGGTTTATTCTTGTTTTGGAAAAAAATGTTAACTGCTGCATATTAATATGTTATGGGGAGTATTTTGAACTTGGGGGACATTTCTGTTTTGCGTCATCATTGGTATGGATCAAACATCTGAGTATTATGCTGATGAACATAGTTTTTCTAAATACCTTGTTCGGTGCTAAGTATGATAATGCTATAAAACTATTAGAGTGACTAACTTCAGTATTTTGTAGGTTTATAGCTTTTTTTTCTTTTGTTTTTCCCTGTTTTTGTGTTTCAGTGACTAGGTTAGATAGGTTTTGTTTGTACTGGCTTCAAGCTGTCGTTTTATTTGATTATGAATGGTAGTAACATTGCAATTATGCATAGTTTTACAAATCTGTTTATCAGTGAACCTTTCTGTGATAGGATCTTTTAGCCTTAGACAAATCAGTGCAGAACTTTTGGTTGGTATTCTGTCATCCCCAAGTACTTTAAAGTCATCTCAATAAAAATAAAATATGATCAAATCTTGATGGACTCTTAAATTTCCTTCTCTCAGATGCAGTTTTTCAGAATATTAATGGAGAAGAATGCATCAAGATATCAGAAGAAGAAATATTGAACTGTCTTAAATATTTTTTTTCATGTAATAAATACTCTTAAAGAAGTATTACACTAGAATTTACCTAGTGTTCATGGAGGGGAAAAAGAAGTGAACTGACAAAACTGTAAATGTGAGATGTTTTAATTGGAACATACTGAGAACAAATTGCCTCTGCTGTTCCTTCCTTAGGTCTAGTGTTGGCCCTTGTAGCGAGGGAGCTGGGTAATCCTGTGAAATCTGATACATGCTGTCAGTGGAGTTAACAGTGTGCAGACAACAATCTTACCTGAGTAATAACATTCTAGTATTTTCATCTGCCTATTAAAGTCTTTACAGCACTCTGGTTTATTCATCAGTGTTTAACTGCCTAGAAAACCCAATAAGGTAGTAAGAACAGTGTGATACCCGATACTATGTATGTTTTTATTCTGTGTGTCTGTCTGGGTTTTTCAAATGATAGTGATTTGCATTTTCTTGTCAGCATTGTAGATACATACCAGCTCCATTTGAGGCAAATGTATGTGCAATATGGCTTTATGGTGGAAATAGAATGTCGGTTTCCTATGTTAGGAAATCAGCTCTGTTTGGGCTGGTACAGTCTAAATCGTATTTGACTACCTGTGGTCCTAAAGGGCTATCTTTATATTTGGCCTGTTGCCCCGGAAATGTTATTGCTTTTGAGAAACTGAAGAGTTGTACTTTTGTAACCATTTCAGAAACTGTAGGAGGAGCCCTTCATTAGGTTATTAAGTTAACATGACTGCCGTACCTTTATTTACCATAGTGTCAAAGAGATATTTTGGCTGTGATACAAATATCTTTTTGTTTTGAAAGGAACTTCTAGAATAGATTGCCCTTATCCAATCTAATTAGATTATATTTATATTAGATTAGATTTATCTTTCTGTAAGGTTTCTGTTCAGATGTTCTTTGAAACAGTGATTTACCACATAAGTGCTATCACCTTGGTGGACAGACTTGTTATTTGGCACCAGTTGTGTTAAAATAGACAAACTTAGAGGTGGAACTTAGTGGAAAGTGAATGTTATCTTTTTCAAAAAGAAGTAATGGGTCACTGTTGTTGTTGTGGGGTTTTGGTCTCTGTCTGTTCCCTTAGCTTCTGGATTTACAAGCTTGTATTTCAAAAAGTAACACTGCTAGATACAGGGTACATACCTCAAAGTACATCTGCTCAATGTGTCCAGCAAAATTTTCAGGCTTTGTTTGCAAAGATTAGGCATCCACATTTGTTTTGAGTAGCTAATGTGACTTTATTCTTGGAGGTACTCAGTAGTCTCTAACTTGCTTGCTTTGATTTCTGAATGCTAACTTTAAATGTATGGGATTTTGGAGCATAAGTTAATATTCCTCACCTTATAATAGCAATTGTAATGAATTTCAGTCATGAGTCATCTTATTAATAGTAGGAATAAAATGGGATGTATTTTCTTGATGAAGTGTCATTAATATGCCTGAAATTTTCGCATCTACCATTTTTAGTCATATTAGTCTAGACAGAACAATATGTAACTTAATGTTCTCATTGCCTTAAATTTAGGTGGAAGAAGGAAGCAAAAATGTGCCCTTGGGCTCACTAATTGGTCTGCTGGTAGAGGAAGGACAGGACTGGAAGCAAGTTGAAATACCAGCTGATAGTAATGATCCATCTTCTCTGGCCCCACCAGTGCCTGTGCTTACCTCAACTCCAGCAGGTACTTCAGTTTCAGCCCCTTCTAAACTGGAACATCAACCTGGAAAATTGCAGTAAGTTTCAATGTTTGTTATGAAATGGAACTCTTATTTAGTTAGATCAGTAGAGCTGAACCAAGAAGAATCTTTTGTCCCTTTTTACCTAGTATTAAGCTGTTAGTTTGAGTGTTTCAGTATGTGTGAGGTAATAAAGCTTGCCTGCCCAGAATATTTCTTTGCTTGTGAGCCCAGTAAGTCAATTTGAAGAATGTAGTTTTATTAGAACACCTTCTATGGATGTGCTTTTATTCTGACGTACAATTGCTTTATGAGGGATTCTAAGCTTGGATTAAGAAGACGTTGTGTGTATATATGATGGATACTAATGCTTATGCATCAGATGCTCGGTTTACCTATAAGTTGTTTTCTGTTTCTTTTTTAGGAGAAAAAATAAACAAACAAATGGCATACTCTACCCTTAATTGGTTTAGTGGTGGACTTCGTAGTGTTAGGTTAATGGTTGGACTGGGTGATCTTAAAGGTCTTTTCTAACCTAAATGATTCTATGATTCTATGCTTCCCATTCTATGATTCTCACTCTAAACCCCTTCCAAGCTCTTGCACTTTTGATATCAGAAAAGATTTCTTATTTTCATAACAGCGGAATGTGAAAAACTCAAAACTGTGGATTTACGTGCTCTTTGTTAGTTTGTTGTTGTTTTGATTTGTTAGGGTACTCTAAGCATTGCAAACATCTTGGAGCAGGAGTAAATAAACCCCAAAGTGTTACAGTAATACATACAGTAATACATACAGTAATACATAAATCGCTGTTTTGTGTCACAGGATGTACCTTATCTAGAGCTGTCACTCTTATTCCGAGTGAATTGTGGTAACACAAAAGCTGTAAAATTACAGCCTATTAAAGAAAAGAATAGGAAGTTAATTTGGTAACATGTGCTACGCAAACTGTTTGGTTTTGGTTGTTCTGGGGTTTTTTGGGTTTTCTGGGGTTTTTTTGTTTGTTTTTTTGGTGGTCCCATGCCCAAACCTCATTACCTTTCTATCTGGTTTGCTATGTTTACTTTTGCTGTCAGCATTTAGGCCCTTCTCGTGCAAGTGGGAGACAACTAATTGAGGCCCAAATGTTGTCTGTAGTAGGGGGATGACCCAAGGAAAGTTAAGACTTGCATTTTAGTACCAAAGAACATCAGAAGTGTGTCTGTTTCACTGCAATTATTAATTAGAGATGTGCCAGCATCTTTGGAATCAAGTGATCATTTATGACATGGTTTTTTTTTGCAAGGGCTTATGGACAGTTCTTAAAACTCAATGTAGTGCAAATATAGTCTGCTTTAGGAAATAATGAATTGGAGACTTTGTGAAAAGACCTGAAACCAAGTGTTTATTCTTTTATGAAAATGTTGCTGCTTTTGTATCTCAGAATTCTGAAATCTCTCCTCCACATGTTGGCTTTTTCCCTCATTTCAGAAAGCAAATCATTCTAAGGTGCGCTGGATGCTCTGTAACTATGTACTGTGCTTTGTAGTTGATCAATGTTTCTGTTTCCAGGCAGAAATGTTACTATTTAGCATACCAGACCTAGGTCAAGATGGCAGGTACAGGTTTACTAGTGTTACAGTATATCCTAGGTATTTGCTGATCAAAATGTTTGAGTGTGGGAGGGCTTAATATTTAGTCTTCTAAAGCAGATAATGAATTATCCAACTACATCTGTATGGCTTTTGCTTTTCCATTAAATCAATCCTATAAAATAAAATTGAAGCTAGGGCAAAAGTAATGTTATAATTAGAATTAAGCTGCATTAATGATGCAATTACAGCTAGCCAGACAAATAATAGAGATGAGCAACCCTCTTGTCTGAGCTCCTAAAGCTCATTTTTTAATGTTACTATAACAAGCTGGTCTTAAAAAATGTACTTGGTTCTTCACTGATGACCATTTTCCAGAAGAATCCACAAGTATATTGCATCGCTGCTGTAAGAGGAAAGTTTGGAGATGAGTTTTCCACTCTTTATTTTGATCTCTTTAAGGTCATTATTTTGTTTTTAAATTCAACCTTGCATTAAAGCTTGGTGAAGGGGCATAATCTGACTTCAGTGTTAGGATCACAGCCTTTGTATAGAACTCTTTTCTTCCCCAGCTGTTGCTTCTGAAATAGAGCACATATTGTCTAGTTTCTTTTGATATATATTAAATGAAATAAGTTAATCTTATTGTTTAAATAGTTTATTTTTCTCCTTATTTCTTTAGGGTTCGCTTAAGTCCTGCAGCTCGCAACATTGTGGGGACACATGGACTAGATCCAAGCAATATCACACCTTCTGGACCTCGAGGAGTCTTCACTAAAGAGTATGTAGATATTTCGATAAAGCTACAACCTCATATTCCCTTATTTCTTCCTTTGAGCAATATCCATGAACTTGAAAAGTCCATTTATTTAAAAAGCTGAAAACTTTTTGTTCCATATTTTCTATGGGCAAGTGGCTTAATTAAATCCGAAAAACCTGTTGAGAAAATATGGAGAATAGGTTAGGAAATATTGTAAGAAGCCTTTAATTAAAAAAAAAAAAAATCTTTTTGTTTTTATGTCCCATCTGAGATGCATGGTACTGGTGTTACATTTCCTGCAGCTCAGCTTAATGGTGGCAATCAACTCCTAGGCACCACTGTTAGCTCCCATTGTGGATCTCAAGAATTTTGCTATTCGGAGGTGTATTCAGAGCCAAAATAAAATACCAGTGGCCTGGTTTCATCAACTTTTCTTTGGGGAGTTCAGATCTTCTGTTTCTTTCACTGAAGTTCAGTTATGAAGTCTGTCAGGATTTATATTAGACTGGGGAGAGCAATGAAGTGTAATGGTAAGAAATCCAGAGTTCTGTTTTTCTCCCATCCTTGTTTTTTTTCCTCTGTCTTTGATTTAAAGAATATTTGTTTACAAATCTGTGGTTTGTTATGATCAGGCTTCTAGTAGCTTACTGTAGTTTTTGAGTATTCTGATGTAATGATTGGCACTCAAGCCTTGGAGTGAGGAACTTGTGTCTAAAAACATGTTGTAGTAGATCCAGAGCCCTTAGCCTTGAAATAGTGCATTATCTTCACATTAACATATGTGTTATTTTAGGAATGCTTATTTTTGTTCTCAGTAAAATTACTCCTTCTGACAAATGCCATCATTCACCTACACAGACCTTGTTAGCTGCTGTAATTTTAGTTCCATTCAAAGACAACCAGGTCGGTGTAATTGGGAATTGAACCCAGAGAAGCAGACAGTGGAAGTCTACTGGTTTTCCAAAACTTTTTCCTATGGCCTTTGGCTGAGTTGAGATAAAATAAGGATGTGAATAGGTATAATGTGCTATGTAATGGCAAATTATCAGGGGTAGTTTTTTCTTAATTATGTAAGTGTAATGGTAACTTGTGGTGCATTACTAGGCTATGGCAGGTGGAAACCCTCTAGGACTTTGAGCTACCTAATTAACATTCCCTAGCTGTCTTGGAGATGTAGCAAAGTTTTTTTGGTTTTGTTTTTTTTTTGTTTGGGTTTTTTTTTTTTTCTCCTGTAGCTATAAGAATTATCTAACAAAATCTTTTTTTCAAAACTGCTTTCTTCCATACAAAAGATTCGACTTTGAAATGTCATTTTAAGATACAGACTGTCTGGGGGGTTTTTAACCATTGTTTTGAAATGGTGTTAATCTTCCAGATGCCTACAGGCTCTGCTGTTATGTTCAATTTGAAACAAAATGTTTGCAGATTTTTGTAGAGAGCTGCTACAGATATTCAGGAAATATTTCTTCTGCTAACTTCAGATTACTGTTAAAATACATTCCATGCTTTAGAGCTGAGTGACTCATGGTCTCTTTTCTGAGTAGACTCCCTCAAGTTGATTCTTTGAGGGAGTGTTGCAAGTTCACTTCTCACTTTTAAACTCCGAGTTTCCTTATTGAACAGGGCTCACGCTCACCAGATTGCAAGAAACAAAGAAAAATAGTGAGTTACATAAGCAAGCAAGATTCTTTCCCTCATGACTTTCTATCTTTAAATTCAATTAATTGTAAAACTTTTAACAGCAATAGGAGCTTTCACTTAATAGCTTTCTCTGTCATAATCTACTCCCTTAGTAGGCTCATACTTCATTCCTCTTGTGTGTCTGTGCAAGGCTGAATTACTGTTGTCTTCCTGCTTGTTTTTGTTTTATGGAGTGGCAGCTTTTTTTATTTTTAAGCAATATCCTCTGCTTTCTTCAGAAATATACTAGAAAATTGGTGTGTCACTACAAAGTAATTCACAGCTTCCATCAAAGATTGCACCATGTTCCTAGTCATCAGCTCAGACACTGTGTTTGGGAGAGCTATGTTTAAATTGTTGATTGTTTCAGGCTACTTCTGCCCTTTCTTGTCCTATTTACTAGTGATCTAGGTATTTATAAATGCAACCATAAAAAGGAGGGGGGGCTAGTTACCAATAATAACTGTGTCTTAATGAGGCCGTGTTCCTCCCATCTGTACTTTCTACGAGCTGTAACTAAGTTAGTGTCATTTGGGATTTCAGAGCTGCTCAGGCATTTGCATTTTAAGCTTGCAAATAAGGCACAGTATGCACATGTAGTAGTGGTTTTCCAGAGTCATTTCATGTGTATGCATTGAGTACAGACTTCAGTGCGATCTATGCTGTGTGCAATTTGTCAGCTGCCATTATGGAGGAATGAGTTCCTTCTATAAAATTGATAGTGCAGTAAGTCTGATAGCTGCAAGTTTCTGATATGTGACATTCTCTGCTCACCTTTTTCCTTCTTCCAGGAGATCCTCTATGAATTGACTAATTGGATGTTCAGATGAAAGGGGATTGGGACAATTTAGTAACCATAACTGCCACTAGAGGAAGCTAGTGTCAATCTGTGCATCTCCTGTTGCACCATTGGATCCTTAGTGATTTTTAGGTGTGTGTATAACCTCTGACTTGTCCGTTTCAAAGTATATTTTGAGCACAAAATACTCAGTTTACTTTGGCCATTCTTTGGATTTTGGCTAACATGAATTGGAAAGACTACATGCTTCTGTAGTAGCGGTAAACTGAAGTGTAACAGAGTTTCCAGAATCTGCATACTACTAATAACAACAGTTTGGTAAGGCATATTTTTTTAAATAAATGTTTACCAAACTCTGGTGTCTTTTCTAGGGAGCAGACTGTTCTCTTCCATGTTTGTTACCTCTCTCTCTCATCTTTCTCCATTACTATCCTCTGTTGATAGAAGTTTATAGAGTAGTTGGAAACATGTGTCCACCCCTTCCTTTTCCAGTTCTAATAAAATATCTGTTTGCCTGACTTGTACTGAAATGTGTTTAATTTGATTTGCTTTGGTGCCTCCTCCAACTCTACTGATGTGTAGGCTTGCAGTCTTGCATCCATGACAGTCATAACATTGCTGTACCTATTTTTCTTGACAGGTTAAATCATGTGGAATTGGTGGTGGTGTCGTGGTTTAGCCCTAGCCAGCAACTAAGCACCACGCA